AGGTGCGGGGTGACTTGGGCGGGGCGACTTGGGCGGGGCGGGCAGGGCGCGGGGCCCGCTGAGCTCCCCGCTTCTAGTACTGAGCAAGTTCTTCCAGTGGGTTAAAAAACTTCGTCATAACTCGTTTCATGTGCTCTTTATCACAAGTGAATTTGCCAGAAAGGAAATGACAATAAAATCACCTGTTCTTCCTGCTGGTACATAAAGAATTACTTGGAAATAGTCAATTTAGATCGGCCCTTGATACACGGAGTTTATCTATTTGCACATGGAGTCTGTTTACACATGGAATTTATCTGTTTGTTGTACGTGACTACAGTGAAGACCTTATGAGGAACCAATTTACTTCTTACTCGAGTTCTCAATTTAAAGAAGAAAAAACAACCAAACCTCCAAGTTCTCTTTGTTTGTTTTAAAGGCTACATCCAGGCACGTGAAGGATATTGCTGGGTGTAGGGACATCAGAACTTGTAAAAGCAAATATCTTCGTATTCCTTATGATTCTATTTTTCTGTCATTCTGTAACAAGATAACATTACCAAACTGGCTCAGGCCTTCAATCCTGGTAGAATTTAAAGAATTTGAATATACTGATAATAAAGTGGAAGCTAACAATGTACAAGTAGAAGAATAGTAGCCTAGGCTAGTTTCACAATAGTGTTGAGTAAGATTTAAAACAAAACAAAACAGATGGGATTAATCTGAAATGATTCTCCAAGGCTTTTAGTGTCTTCCTTCCTCTGCAACATTAAAAAAAACAACCCAAAAAACAATGTTACTTTCCATCTTCACATAAATGTAGAATAAAATTGAACAAGTCCTTTGTTGACAGTGACTTTCTCCTGGCTTAGATCTCTAAGCTTCCTTTGAAAACAAGACATAGAATGGGGGCAAAAAGTGGTGGGAGGGTACTACAAAGAGTTGGAGTTACTTGGGCCAAAGAGTGTCCTAGGAATCCTTAATCCAGCAGTTTAAGAATAGGTTGTGTTAGCCTCGAAGCTTGTTATGTGCACAAGGAAACATCTGTGAACATTAGCACAAGAACCAATTTCAAAGCGAAGGAGGAAATCCAGTATCCCATAGAACGGCTAGAGTTGGAAGGGACCTTAGGATCATCTAGTCCCAACCCCCTGCATGGGCAGGGACACCTCCCATTAAACCAGGTTCCTCAAAGCCCCGTCCAACCTGCCCTTGAACCCTTCCAGGGATGGGGCATCCTCAGCCTCCCTGGGCAGCCTGTTCCAGCGTCTCACCGCCATCACAGTGAATAATTTCTTCCTTACATCTGATCTAAATCTGCCCTTTTTTCAGCTTGAAACAGTTCCTCCTTGTCCTGTCACTCCATGCCCTCGTAAAAAGTCCCTGTACAGCTTTCCTGTAGCCCCTTCAGGTACTGGAAAGCTGCTAAAAGGTCTCACTGGAGCCTTCTCTCCCCCAGGCTGAACAGCCCCAACTGTCCCAGCCTGTCTTCACAGGAGATGTGCTCCAGCCCTCTGATTATTATCTCTATACTCTTGCACACACTGAAGGGTCTTGAGATCGCATTCAATATAACTCTAATGTAATGTAATTATCTCTTCTTGAGAATCTAAGTAATAATATGCCATGTAGCTAGCCTGTGTATTTTTTTCCTGTGAGTAAACCTTTTGCAGAAGTACTGCTTTCTGTTGCCTTACACTAGAGGTGCTAACAAAAACTTATACAGAAACAGCACTTGCTTAAACTCCCAAATATTTACCAGGTAAAAAATGAAAGAGAATACCACAGCCAGCTTTCTCAATAGCTAACAAGGTAAATATGCTTTTATAACTTTAGAACAGGATGCAAACAAAATAAAAAGTCAGGTTACAATTGAAAGATAAGCTTCTATATCACAAACAAAAAAGAACCCAAACACAGTTTGTGCATTGTTCTTCATTTTATTTCTGCCACTCCTCATTCTCATATACAGGTTGTGTTGTAAGGCTTGGTGCAGCTAGGGGTGGTGGGGAGAGGTGGGGTGTTCCAAGTCCTGCAATTGACAGAGCTCCCCAGCCCTCAGGAGATAGTCCCAGCATCTGTGTTATCTAGAGACTGCAAAGGACTTGGGGGTGATGGGTGAAGTCAGGCCTCAGCCTCTGGCACACAGTGTAGAATGGAGTGTCTGTATTAGAAATAAGTACACGTTTACTGTCACTGGACCTGCACAGGAGCCTAAAGCCCTCAGAGATACTTCCCTTCCTTCCTGGGATTCATTTCTGGTTAATGCAACAACAGGACACACCACTACCAGTGTATTTATTAATTTCAGGGCATTTGACACCAGCTTTCCTTTAAAATAACTGATTATAACCTGTATTTCAGAAATAAACAGAGTATGACTATCCACATCACCTAAAAGACCTTGACATGCACTGAGTCAAATGACTTACTGCAGTAAGGTGTTGTACAAGCAGGAAAAAAAAAAAAAGAACCAGACTGCTAAACTCAGTTCAGAAATCCTAAAGGAGGTAAAAAACAATCAGAGCAGAATTGGTAATCCTCTAAAAGAACCTGGACTTGGACACACATGACTTTCTTGCCTTATGGCTTCCCCCATGTGGGTTTGATCCTTCTTTGATCCCAAAAGTCCACCTTATGGTAAAATCATGGTCTTGGAGGATGGTCATTACCCGGAGTTCCCCTGGTGTGGGTTAGGAAGGCCCAGTGTGTGAGGAACGAGGGAAGGTGACTCTTGAGTTCTATCTCTGGGTTTTTCAGTCTTCTACAGTAGGGTAATAGGCTCTGAAACTTGAAACCTTATTTCCTTCTTCTGCAGACATGTAATAAACTCTGAAACACACTTAAGGGAGCCACTGAAAGTCATGCATCAAGTCAGTATTAAGATGGAAAAAAAACAAACAGCAGCTCCCGAATCACAGTCCCATGGTTTTCTACTTTAGTCTTCAGCAAAACTTTGAAATATGAAACTCACAGGACTAAAGAAATAGTGCTACTCTCCCATTTTTGTAAACAGATCAAAAAATTAACTTCTCCTATCAACGGGTGTGCCATAGTGGATAAACTATAAGCCAGAATGACTGTAAATTTATGTTCCAGGCTAGAGCCAGCAAAGCCTTTCACCAAGAAAAACTTGAGAGCAAGGAGTGGCTCCACTGGAGACAATGGAACTTGTCACATGGCTAAAGCTAAGGTTGTATTTCAATTCTTTACTTGACCCAAGCCCTAAAATTTCATCTGAAGGCTGTAGAAGTTCATGGGAGTCTTTCAACTGTCCTCAGTAGGCTTCAAACCTATAAAAAATTATATTTGCAATGTATGTGTGCTTTAGTTGTCTGCACGACTTATGTGCAAGTATTTATCTGCATGATATAATTGTTTTCTATGGAAACAGAAGTGAACTTCACCAAACACTTGTTCTTTCAGTGAGTATTAATGCATCACAAGGACCTCTGCTCTCTGGCTGTGCAGGATCTGAAATGGAAGGCTTTTTTGGTGGAATCATAGAATCGTTTGGATTGGAAAGGACCTTAAAGATCATCTAGATCCAACCCCACACATGGGCAGGGACGCCTCCCACCAGACCAGGTTGCTCCAAGCCCCATCCACCCTGCCATTCAACCCTTCTAGGGATGGGGCAGCCACAGCTTCCCTTGGCAACCTGTTCCAGAGTCTCACCACCCTAATGCTAAATAATTTCTTCCTAATATCTTCTCTAAATCTACCCTATTTCCATTGAGAACCATCACTACACTCCCTGATAAGCACTCAGACGATTGTCAGCCTAGCAGCAGACAATCAGCAGTGCTGCTGGCAGGCCTCTCACATCTTTATCAAGAACTCATTGGCAGAAGAATAAGATGTTCTGCCCAACAGGTGGTTTGAAAACAAAACCAGTCTTGCTTTGATTTATCAAAAAAACACAAAAGAACTGGCATAAAATTTCCTGTTAAGCCCAGACTGACCTGGGGTTAGAAAAGCCTGGACATGGTATGTGAAGGGAATGCTGTAAAACTGGTGCAAGCCATATATGGGTGCACATCATGTGTAGTTTCTCTACACTTCCATGAAACCTTTTAAGTAAAGTGATGTAGGAGAAAATATAAAATCAGTGCTGATAGAGTTTGCGAACAATACTTAGTGTGACAAATTGATGGTCATCTTGATGGTGA